TCCTTAATTTCAACATGGATAGATAAAGTGGATTTTAATAGTACCAAAGATTTATATTTACCATATAAATTTGAATTACTATTGAGAGGGAGTCGAGACGGATTTACTCCTAAATCATTTCACACATTATGCGATAATAAGCCTATTACAGTCACATTTTTTAAAGTAAAAAGAACGGAAGAAATCCTTGGTGGATATAATCCTATAATATGGACTTCTGCTAATGGATTTGGTAAAACTAACGAGAGTTTTATTTTTTCTTTTAAAAATAAAGATAACGTGATCAAGGATGCGATTCAAAGTAATGTTAAGAATGCAGATTTTGCGTTAAATAATCATGAGTTGCACGGACCATATTTTGGAAACGATCTTATGATGATTTCATTAAATGAACTAAAAGATTGTAGAAATTATTATCGGAAATCATATTACGAAAAAAAGTTAAGAAATTATGATGCACAATATTTTTCTATAGAAGATTATGAAGTATTCCAAATTATTAAGAAATAAATTTCTTAGTTCAACTTATTTAATCTATCAGAAGATTTTATAGACATTATTATACTCCACAATTTGGAAAAATAAACCAAGAATCAGAAATTTCTTTTAATAATTAAGATGCGCCTTTGGATTTATTTAAAGTATTTCACATTATAAACAATTTTTATCTAAATATATATTTTAATTAAAATTATTTATTATTTTTAGATTGTTCCAACGTAAACTTATCCTCTTCAAACATTTGAAAATCTAAATTAATATATATCTGAAAGTCAAAGCTTAAAATTTATGAATCATGACTTCAAAAAGCACTATCCAAACGTTTCTTTTTTCAGCACAATTTTAGCATTATTCTCTTTTATATTGTTCTACAATTTCTGGACAGTATACATCACAAACTAAATTATAATATTTATAGTTATAGTAAATCTCATTTATATCGTCTGAACAAGTGAGAAGGACGAACCATTCTAAATTTTGCAATCCGAATATTTATGATGCGGTTGATTTTTTCATTATAAAGATTTGATTTTAGTGTAGTGTTATCTATACATTTATTATTAATTTTTTTTTTCTTGAAAAATTTTAGGATTAAATAAATTTTTTTCGTTGATATCAATTCCATGTATCTAAATTAAAAAAGCACAAAAGTGTCTAAAACCCATTTTTTTTTTATCTACACGTTAATATCCGAAGCTTATATAGAAAAAAAATATAATAAAAATAAAAGAATAAGCAATAATTTGTTGATCGAACTTATCACCTTCCAGAATTCATAGGAGACAAAATCTAATTTTTCCAGCATCTTGAAATTATCGTAGTATCAAGCGGAATTTTTAAATAATTCGTCTCTGACTATCAGAGAAATTTTTCCGAATCAAAATCAAGCGATAATTACTCTCTATGGGAGTTATTATTTACCTAACTCGTTTTATACTGTAAATTAAAAATGTTCTCATTAACTGAATGGTTTGGGATCAAAATTTTTTTTAGCTGATTTTATCGCAAGAATTTTTTTTTTAAAAAAAAAAAATAAATAAATAAAAATGAGCGAATGTTTTTCCTTATTAAAGCAACCCATAAAAAGAATAAATTCATTTTTGAATTACATTTGTGGGTAGCACAAAAGAATATTTTTTAGGGGCTGATGTTTTTAGTAAATCCGGTGTTACGAATTGAGATTTCTTCCGGTTATGCATCCAAGAAAGGCAAAGCCATAGACCTTTTTTCATAGAAATAAATTTTTTTTTTTTTTGACTTCAAACGTCCATTTCAACCCAAAAAATATATATATATATACATTATATATTATTTTATCAATTTTAATAAAATCAAATCTATAAATCTGTAAATCTTATAATAAATCAAGAGGGATTAAAAATGAAAAATGAAAGGAAATTTCTCTTTAAAAGGAAAATGAAATTACTTTGTGTGTTTGGTTCGATTTTGCTTGGAATGACTTTGATTCTTTGGCTTTTTGTTCCTACAGATCCTTTGGAAGATATTAAACAAGAAAATACCGATAAACCTAAAGAAATACCTACAGAAATACCGAGTAAACAACATAAAAATTTACCATCAACAAATCATTCACATACGAATTCGAATTCAAAATCTAAAGTAAATTCACAAGATTCAAATGTAATTCCATCCTCACACCCAGAAACACATCCGGAACCTCCAAAAGATATGACACCTTCATTAGTAACTAAACAGCCTTTACAAACCCCTTCACATACAAAATTGAAAGAATCACAACCCACGGCAACACATTCAGCTGAAGTAAAGAATTACAAAACGTTCAATTTAACACTTCGAAACGAAACACGATCACCCGACGGATTTTCTCGTTATGTATATACGATAAACAACCAATTCCCAGGTCCAGAAATAACCGTGAATAAAGGAGATAATATCAGAATCAATGTAACAAATTATATTGGTCACCCAACAACGATTCATGTTCATGGAATGATCCATAAAGAAGCGGTTTATATGGATGGAGTTCCTTACATCACGCAATGTCCAATCCAAAATGGAAGCAGCTTTATTCTTGATTTCAAGGCCACGCATCCCGGAACTTATTGGTAGTAAGTAGAAGTGATGACGAGGCGCGGAGAACTTTTAATTTTATCTCAACGTTTTATTTTAGTTATTCGCATTACGGAACACAACGTGCGGATGGATTATACGGTGCATTGATTGTAATAGATCCGGAGGAATCGAAGCTATATAATTATGATGACGAGGAAACAATTTTATTATCAGACTGGTACCATGACGAATCCGCTGCATTATTAAAAAAATATAAATACAGCAACGCGTCGATTTCTGATTTTTTCGAGGTATTTTATAAGCATTCTTTTAATACGTACGTTTGTTAATAACCTATCGCTAATTAAACTTTTGTTAAAGCCCTTTCCTAATAGCGGATTAATTAATGGCAAAGGGATTTTTAACTGTGAGAATTATGAGAACGAATTAAAAAATAAAGAAAAATGTAATTCTGAAGAATTAAAGATAATAGAATTTAATTTCGAACCTCAAAATAAAACTCGTCTTCGGATTATAAACACGAGGTAATTCAGTTGAGCATATTATTTAAAAAAAAAATTTTAAATATTATTAATTTAAATTTACCTTTAGCGCAATTACATCATTTTACTTTTCAATCGATGGACATATGCTTCAAGTAATCGAAGTTGATGGTACTTCTACCGAGACCTCAAACAGATTCCATCGTTTGCTGATTCACGTAGGACAGCGATATTCAATAGTCCCGACTCGTCTACCTCAACACAATTCAACATCAAACTTTTACCTTCGTGTCGAGATCATCAAGAAATCATTTCGTTCAACAACACCTTATGATATGCTTCCAACAGAACTTAACGCAATAATCCGTTATGATGATGAGGATGATTCATCACTTCCGTCAACATCATCATGGACATTACAACAATCTTCTTCGATATTTTCTTTAGTAGATCTTAATCCTTTTGATTTAAAACCACATTTTCACGAAAATCTACCACGAAACACGACATTTTTTCAATTCGATTTGATTATTGATAAAATAGATGAATATAAATCTATGAAATTTAAAAACAAAGGATTTCATGAGAATGACATTGAACACTTTTATGGATCCATTAATAGCGTGCAAAGAGGCGCTTCTATTTATAACCCAAACAAAACTACCAACACTTTGAGATTGTTGTTAGAAGGAAAGATAGTGAAATTTCCTCTTTATTGGAACATTTATACATTCAAAATACAATCAACTATTAATATCATTTTAAAAAGTAAGTTTCAATTAAACGAAAAGACAGTAAATTTTTTTTTTTTTTTAAGAAAAAGGGAGCAGATTGACAAAATATTTTCAACCTTGTCTTTTTAGATGATGATGGTTTTGATCATGTATTCTATTTGGTAATTGTTATAGATGATTTCATTGTTCCTTTCTTGATCGGGCTATGAAATTAATCAAAGTTTGCTATTAATTTTTTTAGCATGGTCATAAATTCTGGGTATTGGGACAAGGAGAAGAATCAATACCAGAATATTCGAATTTAAATGAAATCGATCCGATAAAAAGAGATACCGTAGTCGTTCCAGCATTTGGGTGAGCATTAGTAATAGAGTATGGATTGATCCCTTGAGTTATAATTGACATATTTTTAATACTAGGTGGACGCTTATTAAATTTAACATTGACAATCCTCGAATATCTACGTTCAGTAATCCTATAGTAGTAAGAAATTTTTTTATTTTTTATTTTATTGTCCATTTCTTTATAAAATGCTAATCATTCAAATATTATGTCTTAGTGGCACCAAAACATCGGTATGTTGGGTCAAATAGTTGAATTCCCCAAACAGATTAAAAAATCAATAATTCCCCCAATAGAATGGTGCAAATTATGTAATGATGAAATTAATTTAAACGTATGCAAAGAGAAAGAAATTAAAGACAGTTTAATCAGTGATATTTGGGATAGGAATTAAAAAATATATTGTGTCGTTAGATAAATTATGATTTAATTTTTGTAATATCAACTCGAAATATTTGTGAAGTTCCGTTCATAGTGTACTAATTTTTATATCTATAATAAAGATGTAAATTTGAGATTCAAGTTATATAATTTTATTTTGTATGGGAAAGATAAAATGAAATGATTTTTTTCGTTACATTGATTTTCAAAACAAATTGTTCTCTCAATTATAATTTCCATCTGAGTAAAATTGTTTTAATAATTATCATGAACTATTATAAACTATAAATTAAATCCATGATCCAATATAGCATGTTGATAATTTTATACTTTTGAATATCATCTTCAAATGATTCATATAATTTAATCGCTACGTTACCAATACATCTTAAATCATTTATCATCAATACTACGATTTATCAGATCAGACTGGTATACCGTTACTTTTTCCAAAGTTTACAAAATGTAAAAGATCAGAACATTTAAATTACTGTATTATTCGATACGATATTTCCCGGACATAGTTGAATTTTTTTATGATTTAAAAATTTTAATTAATAAAATATTCTTTTATATGATGAAATTCAAAACAAGTTATGAACCATTTGGCGGAAAGCCGTTGATTGTTATGCTAAAATGAAACGAGAAATAAAATTAACGTTATATGTCAAAAAATTTTTGAAGATATATATTTGCATCTTTAGGTGAAAAAAACCTGTCGTTTGAAATGTCCATATTTAACTAGTCCCAAATTTATTCTGTTTTTATTCTGGACCGATTCATAAGTCCGGCCCTTGAGCCGGTTTTTTTTCTAAATAACAAATTATTACATTTACGATTATATTTACAGTAATGATAACATCCGAAATGGAATAGAAAAATAACGATATTAAGAAGGCGTAGTAATTTTTACAATGTCACATTCATATGTTTGCGATTGTTTTATTAAATTTATATAATTGATTGTTAAAAATGTATATATAACACAATCTGCACATTCATAGTTTGATCATATATTAAATATGTGCCTCAGAATATCATAAGGACCCGTTCCATTAACCGGTCATACCAGGACCGATCAATCCTTAGGTGAATGCAATATTTTGGTTGCATCTGAGCATTAATTTCGTCGAGTTCTATAAATTAGACTCCATTAGACAAAATTACGCACGATTATGTTATTTTTGGTTCTTTAACAATCTTTTTATTCATAACTTTATGATGAGTAACATAAGATCAAATACTTTTCCTTTCAAGCAAAACACATACATCAAATCTTTAATATAAATAAAAAGTCTTTTGTCTAACTACAAAGTAATATTATGCTTCTCACAATACCTAATAGCTTCCTTATGCTGGTTATAAGCAGCTAATCTCATATATTTATTGCCTAATGCTTCATTTTTGATATCTACATTATCAGAGAAATATAAAAAAGCAGCATTAAACATACCAACAGCTTGGCCATTGTCGGCGGCCTTAGTAAAATATTCAGTAGCTTCTTTTAGATTCTTTTTAACTCCTGTACCATTATATAAACAAGAACCATAACGTAATTGAGCTTCGGAAAAGCCCGAATCCGCCGCTTCTTTATATAAATTTGCTACTAATTTGTCTTTAGTTGTTTGGTCCATATTAAGTTTAACATAATTTTGTTGAATATAATATGCTTTATAGTATTTTGCTTTTATATCGTTTAATTCTGCATATGCTTCAAAACTTTTATAAGATAACTCGCGATTGCTTTTATTTTTCACTGCTTCATCTACTGTCATATAATTAAAATCATCGAAATTTATGATTTTCACTTTAGTTTCTGGCGTGATACGAAGCGATGGTGGTGGTTTACGATCTTTCTGATAAAGACCTTGTAATATGGTAAAGATCTTTGAAAATTGAGGTCTAAAATTATGATCAGGGTGAACAGCTAGGATAGATTTATAATAATAAATTTAGTATAAAGGCCACATAGATTTGTGTATGAAAAAAAAAACAGATATATATATTATATTAATACCTTTTATTGCAAGTTCTTGATATTCTTTTGGTAATTGAGAACCGAGAGAAAATGGTTCACGATATTTATTTTTGCAAACTAGGTCGATAATTTTAATGATATCATTACCGCATTGCTCATAAGGAACTTTCTTTTCGGCAATTTCCCAAAGCAGTATACCAAAACTATAAACTTCACATTTGGTGTCATATTTATATAACGACCCTTTTTCCAACTTTTCTGGAGCGCTATACCGTACAGCATCTAGTGTGGCAGCTTGATTTGTTGTACCATCAGTAATTGTTCGACTTGCTTGAAAATTTGCGATTTTGGCCAAATTCTGATAAGTGATTAAAATATTCTCGGCTCTAATATCACGATGAACGATCTGTTATTACCCAAAAACAACAAATGATTTCTAGGAATTAGTAATTTATCTTGAGATAGATGAAATTTTTATTTTTTAAAAAAAAATTATTACCTTAACAGCACTCAAGAAATTTAAGCCTTTGGCAATGTCAAGAGCAAAGTTTAACTTCTGCTTATCATCAAGTGAATAAGTTTGATAATATTCACGTAAATTGCCATACTCGGCCCATTCAGTCACCAAATAAAATTTATCATCATACACAGTTAAACCAAAGTATTGGATAATACGATCACATTGTTTCAATTTTTTTAAAATTATAACTTGCTTTTTAAAACTATCTAATTTACTGCTATTTTTATCGGCAACCAACTTTAATGCAACAAAATCATTCGATCCATTTTTTCTTCTCTTAAATTTTCTAACCTTTATGATTATCTTTAAGTTGTTGTTTTTCAAAATCATTATAATCGAGTAATTCATTTTTGAAAATATCAGTATTTACTGGTTTAGAATCGTTGAACTTTTGGTTAAGTGCGCTCAATAGCACGATTTCATTCGAGACATTTTGATTCTCGTCAGTAATACCACTTCTGATATTTGTAAGATACTACATGACGTTGTAAATAAGTACTTATATTCAATACATAAAAATAAATTGATGCATATCACACACATTACCATAAGCAACTCTTTAATATCAGATAGAATAGCTTTCTGTTCCATAGCTGCTTTATCTGCACTGATACTAGAATCGATCGCCAATGCTTGCAATTTTGAATTAAATTCATCAATTAATTCTTTAACGCTTCCTTCAATGTTTTTAGCCAAAATATACTTGGATAAACCTATCAATTGAGAAATTTTTCCAACAAATTCCCGAATTTTAACAATAACGTTAACCAAATTATGTAAATTAATTAGATTATTTTTTGAAAAATAATTTTCATTTTCATCTCTACGATTTTTTAAATTCCTTACGGCAGTATCAGCTATTTGTACTCTATCCAAAAATATCCCACATATTTTTCTATTATGTTTAGCTGTTTGATATATTTTTACTATCTCGTTAAACGTTTCGGTTACTTCCTTTATTAGTGGTAAAAAACTACCAAAACCTATTATTTCGTTTTCCAATGTAATGAAGGCTAACTCCTTTGTTTCTTCTGTACTGTTAGCTAATGCCGTTTCATTAAACATTGGTTCTGTAAGTTCTCCATCGTTAACATCGGTATTGATTAATTCTGTGACAATTTGCTTTACATCAGTTTCACTACCACCAATGTGAAGGTTCTATATGATGGCGTGATATTAGTAATAAATTAAAATTATTAAAGACGAAATTTATTTTATTACCTTAGAAAAATCAATATCTAAATCGTCAAGCTTGGAATCATAATTAACAGTTCCATTACTTAGTTTAGATACATTATTTTTACCTTCATCTTCATTAATGTTGTCAGTAAATTTATTACTTTGTTTAGGCAAAATTATTTCTTTAAGATTTAAAGCTACATTCTGTATATCTGGACGTTCATCTGGTTCATTTTTCCAACATTCTAATCATATAATAATAAAAAATTATTTCTTTTATTTTTAAAAATAAAATTATATATACATTTACCTTCATATAATTTACTATATTTTATAGGAGTGTTTGGAATAATCTCTTCTCTTGTGCCTTTGATGATATCAATAATTAATCCACCATCACCATTACCATTAAAAGGTGCACGTCCACTTGAAATTTGCCACATAAGTACTCCAACGCTATAGACATCAGACTTTTTATTTTTTTTGTAATCCTTATTCCCTAAACATTTTGGATCCACATAAGGTATAATACCAAATATGTTTGATGCACTACTTGAAGCTTCTGCAATTTTTCTTGATAAACCAAAGTCTGCTAATTTAATAGTTTTCTGATGCACAAGTATATTATTTGCATGCTTTAATTGTATATTGAATATAAAAAAATTAATAAAATATTTAGCAAAACAGTTAGAATAATAAACTTATATACCAGATCACGATGAATGATATTTTCTTCATGCAAAAATTCTACAGCACTTGTCATTTGAAATGCTAATTGGTATTTGTCATCCCAATTAAGTTCACTGAAATGCCTTTTTAAATAGTCTTTCAATGTGCCGTTATCTGCATATTCCAAGACTAAAGAGTATACATCTAATAAAAAAAAGTATTTTATAAAATATAAAAAATAAGTCATAAAACTCAATAACAATATATTTCTAATACTGACAGGGCTCATCAATTGCAATTCCATATAACCGTATAATATTTTCATGATAGTTAACTTTCAGATGCAGCTTAACCTATATAACAATTTAAAATAATGTAAATTTTATTATTATTTTATAATAATAATTACAGATTATTATACCTCTTTCACAATTTCTCTGATGACTTCTGGATGATTGTTAAAAGATTTCAAGGCGAAAACACTTCTATTTTTCCAATTAACACGATAAACATTTCCAAATGCGCCATTCCCTATAGCTCTTTTATCTTGGAAGTCCGAGTATTCATATCTTTTGATATGTTCATTAGCAATTGAATCCTTAATCCAATCATTATAAGTATCTTTTGGCTTTTTTTTTTCTTTATTTATTTTTTTCCAAAAATTCTTCATAATCACAATAATAACCGGCAAATACTAATAATTTTGAAGGAAATAAAATTCCAAATTGGAATGTAAAAATTTATATGATATGTAGTGTAACATTGCCTTGAAAACGTGCAGTAAATATAACGCAGAGTTGGAAATAACCCATATACATACATATTTGGCGTACATAATTATTTGTCGTTCAATGCAATAAATAAAAGCTGCAAGTATTATTAATTCATTTCTTCGTTCGAGTAACAACAATATACCAAATCATATTGAAAGTCGAAGAAAATTTACTCAGCGCTAATATTTATATTTGAAAAGTTTCCAAATATGCACTTACGAAAACTGACAGGACATTTTAATTTTTATTCTATAAACAATAATATATAGTAGTTCATTTTTACTTTGCACAGAAAATTCTCATAATAATATTCATTTGCTTACCAATTAACAGAAACATAATTACTATTGTTGGTATTAATCTTAATTAGAAAAACTTTTTATTAATTAATTTTTTTTACAATTATGTGAGATGTATATCTGGGAATTTTCTATTTAAGTATGAGAGCTTATGAATTTCAATTTAAATATTTATAAAGGTAAACGCCCTGATATTGTATTAATTAAATGAGAATTAACCCGTAAGAAATTAAACTAGGTACCGGGACCGTTGAAGCGTCCGAAGCATTCAAATGGTTGATATTTGATCAACAGTAGTGCAATACTTATTTGGTAGATCACGTGTGGGAACAGACACTTTCAGGTCTAACCGTAATGTCCTACGCGAACAATTATTATTAAAAACTAAAAAAAGAAAATAGCAATTAAAGATAAATTACAATTATTTTATTCAAGTCGCTTAATTCATTTTACTGAAAGATTAAATGCATTTTAAAATATGACAATATTAAAAATATTATTATTATATTTTTTTTTTAGTAAAATATTGTTTTTATGTAATATTAAATTTTACATAAATATTTAAATTAATAATAAAATTCGGTATAAGCTTTATATTATACAAACGCAGAATGCGCAGTAAAGTTCTATCTGATAAAATTATCATTTGAAGTTTAAACCTTCTAATAGGCTAAATGCGTTATTCTTATCCGTTAAGTAAGCGACCTATTTTTTTTTATAAATATAAACATTAGTTTTTTTAAAATATTTGTGCGCACTTGTCTTTAGTACGAACACGAATAGTTGGATGGTGTGGGTGTGAAAAATTTTTCCACTATAGTAACTTCGATTCTGTGAACTTTATTAAATAGAATGCATATACTTACAGTAGTAGTTTTGAGTCGACTTTATTACAAACGTTCAAAAATTAATATTAAATAACATTTATCTGGAAAAAGTTCTTATTATTTATTACTGGATCACAGAACTCGTTTAAACACAAAAAATTTTGTAAATATAAAATTTTGTTTTATCTTTTGACGTGGAAACTCACGCGGATATTTTGTTCGTAACTAATAATTCTTTCATTGGTATAAGTTTTAATATTAATGTAAAATCTTTCATATTTTTTTTTTTTTTTTTTTATTATAGAAAATAAACTTTGTATCTTCGGGATAATAGCAAAGGTTAATCTCGATATTGCCAAATAACCTATTAATAAATGAAAAGTTAGTCAAAAATTAATTGATGAGCAAAGATTTCGTGCTTAAGGTGGGAAATCTTATAATTAGACTATTAGAGGAACGACCTCGTAAAGTTGATTTCAAACTTTTTAAGAATGTTGTGTAATTAATTATAGTGTAGCTGTGTATATTATAAATAAAAAGGATATTTAAATCAAAATTATTAATGAATAATAAAAAATATTTAAAGTTTACCTAGAAATAAAATAAAAATACACTTATAATGAAGCAACGCCTTCTTAATCAAATCGAGTAGGAACGAACTTTGATTAAATTTCCTATGGTTGATCGATTAAATAAACAATAAACAATATAGTATCGTTATATTCTGTAAAAAAAAAATTATTGATATCGGAGAATATTTATAATATTTGAAATTTTGAATATTTATCTCAGATGATCAACGCATGCAGTTAATTTTAATGTGGAAAAACTTTTATTATAAAATTCTATACCAGAATAGAAAATATATAAACGCCAAACTAAAATTATTTCAACCCGGCCAATTAAGAGAAATAATAATATTGATTTGATTCCTTACACAGCACAGCATGGCAGATATTTGTATGATTGGTCAATTTTTTGTCATCACTCCTTCTTAATTCTCAATAATCAATTTAATTGAGTACGATTCACTTGACTGGTACGATATAGACTAATTCTGTAAATTTGTACTGTACTATACTGATAGTATATATAGAGCTATGATTTGATTATAAGACCAGTACTTCTAATTTAATTTAATTCATTTTATTTTGACAAACATTTCGTTATGTAAATTTTTAAAATTCTGGTAATGATGCAGATCGTACCGCAGTATAAATCAAACTCTCATACTTTACTGAAAAAGCTTTGTTAAAATAATTTATTTGCAAAAAATATTTTATTTTAGAGAATTGCTATTTAGACAGTGGGATATCAAAAGACACCTGCACTTAAAAGTTGGAAAATTGACAAAAGTAGCTATTTCAAACTAAACTTTTTGTTTAATTAAATCACCTTTGTTGCAATAAGTTAAGTTATGTATCTTAACGAAATGCACATATACTAAATATCCAATTGGTGATAAATTTTATATTCAGTATTTTATGTAACATTTTCGTGTATTAATACAAGTTTTCATTATAATTAAACATAAAATTTTTAAGTAGTAATCTATTTTCATTTATTAATTATCCTCAAAATTTCATACTAATTACATTTATATTTGTGGAGATCGAATTGATAAAGTGCAAAATTTGGTAAAATTCTAAAATATTAGCATTTGACATGACTTTTGACTGTATCGATTAAATTTCCACATGTATAAATGCAAATAATTAAAACCCATTAAAGAAAAAATATTTTTTAATACAATATACAAATTAAATAATGAAATATAATAGATTACAGCTAAAAATTCAATGTTTTATTATAACTAAAATCTTGTATTAATACACGAAAATATTGCATTAAATATATAATATAAATTTTACTACTGATCGATATCTATAAAAACTTTAACATTTATGTATTTCATAATGATACACATTTTTACTTATTTCATAAAAATTGATTTAATTAATAAGATAAATAGTTAAAATTAGAAAATCAATGGAAAAAAAGTTCTTTTAAATTAAAGTGCCCGGTGAATTTTGATATCCCATTGTACAGTAAATATTTTTTTTTGCAAGTTGAGAAAAGCGGCTTTGGTTTACATCCTACCATTTTTAAAGGTCCTTTGTACTATCAATTTGTTGAAGTTTTATATAATTCTCAACTTCAAAATGAATTTGCTTTTCTAAATTTTTGAAAAATTATTTTAATTAAAATTTTTAATTTGAGGATAAATTCGTATATTTAAAGCTAAGTCCGAACCTCTCGAAGGACTAAATAAATGTTAATTATAACATTTTATTTTTTTATAAGTACGTTTAAATTATAGAAAAATGGAAGACTAGTTCTATTGATACACTTATTTCCACGAACCATCATGCTATTCATATAAAAGATTCGACATTTTATCAGAATTATAATTGGTATGCAAAATAAGTGAAAACAAAAGAAAGTTCTGATAAATAAAAATATCAATTTATATCACTTTATTGATTAGAATCTTTTGCACTTAAATAATCAATCCGTTAAATTTGACAATATAGTTGAAACCCATCGAATCCGTCGAACTCAAAATTTTTTTCGTAAATTTTCGAGTTTTGCCGACATGGGATTAGAGTTTGCCCTGCAATCCTAGTTCAGCTAATAATAATATTGTTAATTCATGCACACTTTGATCATTTTCTATGATGACATGTATTCTGAAATCTTTAATTTACAAACTTTATTTAATTAATATTTAAGATACAATTTAAATAATAATAATTGGATAATACGCCGTAAAAATACATGAACAATAAAATGAAACAAATCAAACTAAGACTTTTTGAAACATGAAAAAACTTTTTCTCGGATTTTCTGATTGTCATATTTTTGAAGTAAATGTTCAATCAAATTTTCAAGTTCCTCCATATCTTCTTGATCATTACCCATAGGCTTTCTTTCATCTTTACTAGTCGTAGCGGTATGTGATGACTTTTCGATTTCATCACATTTATGATGTTTTTTATCAAATTGATCATTTTGATTGTCAAATTTCCAAATCGAAACTTTATCATAAGTAGTTACTTTAAAAATATTGGCATATTTTGATGTGTTGAATTCTTCGAAATCTTTATAAATGGGATCTTTATCATTTTTTATAATTTTACACCATTCTTCAAATGTTTTTGCCTGACAAGGAATGTATGTTGGATCTTGTTCACGAGGCCAAAAATGATGCAATGCTTCATAATCTGCTAATTGTCCTGCCCTATATCTTAAGAAAGCTTGTCTACCTTTAGTTTTCGATATATCATAAGCGGCGCTTTAAGCAAAATAAAAAAAAAAATGAGTAAGAATTAAATCTGCAAACATCATGAATATAATGATTGATAATTATCATACCTCATTAAGGGAATCAGCATATTTCGCACAACTACGATGAAGAAACTAGCAAGTATAATAAATGTTGCTATAGCAAAGGTGGCAAAGTTTTCTGGAGCTGAATCACCATTAACCCAAAAATATACATTCTTAATTGAACTTGGAATATCAATAAATTCTTTCAATTTGTCAGAATTTGTTTCATCCACACTTGGATCTTTAAATAGAGTAAACCTATTTTTAAAATTATTAGTACAAATAATTACTTCAATAATTCAACAAAAAGACTACTTAAATCAAACTTACATTGTATTTGCAAGTCCATAAATTATAATTATTATGAATACAATTAGAGGCCATATTTCTTTTAAAGTAACGCCAACATAAAAGATCGTGTAAGTGGCAATTTCTATTAGGTTGAGAGAAATAATTAATCGTTAGTTGTAATAAAAAAAAAAATAATAACCACTTATCGTTATTTATACTTTACCTGACATTCGAAGGCATAAAATCTAAGTTAAAAAATTTAAAATTAATATATAAATTTAGACTCAAAAAATTAAATTAATCGATTAACTTACCATTTGAAAAAAGATAATAAAATTTGAACCGGTTAATGATATAATATATCTTGTTTGTACTTTACTTCCAAAACCATCAGAAAAGGTAAATTCATCGATGAGTACTATTGACATGATTACTACAGGAATTACAACCGAAAACATATCAAACCAATTAAATATATCAAGATATTTGTAGACTCCATAATGGAGTATTTGGTGTGTTTCGGTTATCAATAGATAAATCGCCAAATAATAAAATATAATGATTACTGCAACTATATAAATTGGATCTAGACTAAATTTATCAACATATATCAAACTAATGAAGATGGAACAAAATCCAAAAAAATAATATCGAAATAAAAGAGAATAAAAGAAATTCTTTGCACTTGGCCAATAATAATCAATGACAGCCTCAACTGCCGGGTTATCAAACATATCTTTACTGTTATTATTATATTTCATCATCCGCGCAAAAGGACTTAAATTTTCTTTGTTGTACCATTGTGGTATAAATATGAAAAATATGAACCAAAAAATTTCTACAATTTTCTTTTGAGAAGGCTTATTTCCTTTATGCATTGTGAATTCAGGCAGAGGTAAGCGATGTAATTTTAACACTTCAGAGTCTTTCTGGCTTTTTATAGTTGAGTTGGAGTGTAATTTGTTCTTATATTTCTTAAAAATGCGACGTTCAGAACCTTTATAAGGACTCTCTAAATAATAAAAGCACGGCTTTTGAAATAATTTTTTGACATAATGATCTACATGATAAAAAGGTTCATTATAAATCTTACAAATTAAAATTAAAATTAATTTCATAATTAAAAAACAAACCATATCTATATTTATACAGTAAAGGAAGTGCCTCAGGAACAGTAACCATCCAACCAGGATCTTTTGCACGCCTTGAATAATATTCCAAAAGGTACGCGACAATACTTGTTTTTTTACGACCTAAAGATAAAATTTATTTATTATCTAATCAAATAACACCATATTTTATTATAATCATATTAATGCTTAAATTTACCACAACTATAATATATTGCTAGCTCCAAGTCATTTCTTGGTCTGTTATTTCCTACAACTTCCTTTTTAAAGAGGGCAAGATCCTCATCCTTTATATATGTATTCTTATCTTTCTTATTAGAAAGGTCTAGATCATCATTCTTCTTCCAAAATTTTCTTCTTGGTAAATGCTTTATTATGAATTCTCCATCCACACTATCCTTCTTGTCTTCCTTTCCGAATAAAATATATTTAATCAATTGAACACAATCACCAAGAATTAAATTCTTCATAACATTATGCCGCACATCTAGCAATCTATATTGATCCGGCTTATACTCAATAAATCTCCAGATTATATGCTTAATGTACAATTCCATGTCTTTGAGCTTTTTTTTTTTTTTTTTTTTTTTTTTTTTAGTAAAGAATTTAATTTAAACGAAAAAATATTTTTAAAAAAAGTAGTTAAAATTAACTTACTTGATATCTTCTGTTATTATTATCAACAAGAATTTTCTTGCATTTATTAATGTACTTTAATGCTTTGCATGCATGTATTACTCCTTTAACATTTCCATTAATATTCTTCCATTCAATTGTCTTATGTTTTGTAGTGCTTTTACCTTCATCTTTCTCGGTATCTGTCTTCCAATTGACCTCCAATTTAAAATATTCTGGCCCGAACCGAATCTCTTTAATATGTAATCTATTTTCTTCATTTTCTTTTTCTGGTGCAATTCCATTTGTCCAAATATATTCAAGAAATGGTCTTCCTTCATTGGGTAGTTCCTCCTTTTCACATTTATGACTTGGATCTGAAAGTATTTGATGCCAGATTTGAATGGTAGACCTGCCAATTACAAGTTGCAAAGTTTCAGTTTTATCATGACGAAGATAAAAAGAAGTCTTTTTATATTCATCTTTTGCCCACGGTTCCGTGTCATCAACTACTAAATTGAAATTATTTTTATCGTAAGTTTCGCAAAAGTATATGTAGTGATTATGTTGCTCTTGAAATGGTAGTTCATTTTGCTTATCCGGGAAATATACTGTATTGGGTGGCAAATTGTTTTGATCATCCTTTTTTAATGATATTTCAATCATCTTGAGAACCGATGTAACAATTCCTTTATCATCAACTTGCAAAAGATTTCCAGATGTGCTAGCCAAGCGAGTACTAAGATTTTGTACAGTGAAATTTTCTAACGGTATAGTCTCAACCTCATCAGTGTCATATAAATCCCAGATAATAATCTTTAGATCTTTCTTATCATCATCCACGGATTCACTACCAATTAAAAGTAATTTCTCATCGCTATAAACAAATTCTGCCAAGTGTATCCTTTCAATTCCTTTAAATTTTCTAGATGCGATCATCAAGCCATTCTCCAACGATTATATCCTAATAAAAGTTAATTGAAAAGTAAAAGGTCAGATTATTTCAGTTTTAATGAGTCAAGAAACACGTGAAATTCACGTGATGACTCACTCAATAGATTGAATTCCTCGAGTAACACAAAGGTGCAAATTTTGTTCATCAATTGCATAAGAAGTCGTCGTGTTTCTTGTGTACTTTTCAATACTTTTGACTCTTACTATGCCGGTTTCGACCATACCATTTGATAGATAATAAACTATTATATAAATGGGGTTGTTAGTATAAATTTATTAAACCGTTCAAATATCATTTTGAGGTATTAATTGCTTACCATCAAGGTTATTTTTTCTGCGATTCAAGAAATATTTTTTACAGAAGCATGATACAATTCGGTCCATGCAATTTGGTAAGCAATCCTTTAATACTACAGAAATATCTCCCTTTTTATAATAGAAATCTTCATATCTTTTACCAAAAATTTCAAAGACTCGATTAAATACTACGAATCTACAAATCTTTGATTGTGAATCATCATTATAATTTTCATCACATTCATCTAAAAATTTACAAATTCCCGATTTTACATCATCGTATATGGTCAAATCGTCATTTACAAATTCCCAAGGCGGAACTATATTTTCGTCCGCAGTTTTCTCTTGTTTAAGATAAACGAAGTTTGGATGATCATCTGTTAAACCTGATAGCTGTACTCTCAAACAAATCATACTTTTGTTATTGCAATTACCATTCATATCACCTTTCATGCGAGATACTACTACGAAAATAAATTCATTATTTTGAAATTTTGTCACGTTCGATAAACCAAATGACCATACACATTGGTCATGTTGGTCATGTTCGTCGTTTCTTTGAATATCAATGATTATTTCATCATCATTAAATAATGAAACATTTGTATTATACTCGAATAAGCTATTGTTGGTAACGGTAATATCTGATTGTATATTGTCGAAATTGACAACATAAGTTTGATTACTTTCAACTGATACTTCGGATTCATTCTGATTATGAGATATAAAATTATTGGATTCATTGTTTTTCTTGGGAATGTTGAAATTTCGATAATCAGGATTTCTAAGAATTTTAATCTGAAGATTTTCTAATTCAACACACAAAAAAAGAGGGAGTTAGAAATTGTAAAGTTAATAAAATTGCAAAAAAAAAAAAAAAAAAAAAAAATATTCAAATTATATTTACTTGTATTAAAAGTGGCAGCAAATTTTCCATCATTACTAATTGCGATTTGATAATCACCTTCGCAAAGTTCATGTATTTCGTTGGACATTTAATGAATTTTCTTGATATTTCAGGTGAAGAAATATTTTTTTTTTAAAAAAAAAAAAAAAATTAAAAAGATTAGACCGGTATTTTTTATCAAATAAATTCAACGTCCATTTACCAATCAAATTATTTTTGATCGATTAGCAAGATCCTTATTGAATTAAGCAATTTCGGACATCATCGATCATGAATTATTTATGCATACATAATTCATGGCTACATGCATGAAAATTTCAATGCAAAATGCTTTTATGGATTAATTCATAAAAAACATAAACACTCCGAAAAGTCAAATTTCAATGGGAAAAAATTATTTATTATTGTAGATCCATGAAAATGCTTCATTTTAAAAATGTTAGGTACCGAGCCGGTTAATGGACCGGCCTTTGCGGTTCGTGTGTTATAATGTTTGCGGAGACGATAATCCGAGTGTAACTAAATAAGGATTTTTGTTGCAATTATAAATTTTAAACTATGGTTTATTGTTTTTTGGAGATCTGTTTATTAAGACTACGCCTTCTTTTGAATTTAATTTAACTCCCGCAATACTGAAAAACTATATCTTTCCTAAATCTTTTACTAGAGCAGTGTTTACAATTCTGACGATATTTATTAAATTACCCAAGAAAATCTTTAACGTACACCATCATTTTCAGACTAAATTCAGCTCTCGAGAATTATCAAATGGGAATTTTATTTTTAATATACGATAACTAACTAGGAACTTAAATTTGAATTTTCATTGTAAATGGTTCTTTTTGCCACAATTATCGATGCATAATGTTTTGAAGAGGATTGCTACGCTAAAAGCCTTCATAGTTCGAAACATGCTAAAAAAAAAAAAAAAGTATTATCTATCAAAGAATAAAAATAATTTTCTCAATCATTTATAAAGGTCGTTGGCGAAATATCTTTATCTAGAATTTTTATATTATTATTTTTTTCAAAACAAATTAATGATAATCAACAGTTCAGGCATAATTTAAAAACGTGTGATGGTAAGTTAAACCTTAACTTTCTTTTACAGAATAAGAAAAAATAAATTTAAAGACACGACGAGAAAAAGATTTTAAAATAAAGAAACGCCTTCGGATATAAGATAATACGGGAATGAACTTTGTAAAATATGGAAATTTGAGCTGGGGTATATTAGCAAACCGAACTCTTTTCTTACGTTGTACATTCACGTTAAAAGTGACGTTCGATTCAAATTTTATCTAAATAATAGAAAATTTCAAGCTATATAAATATTTATAAAAAGGTGTTATCTTATGGAAAATTTAAGATACAAAAATATTATAATTGTAATGTAAAAAAGTTTTTTCTATGTTTTAGTTCAAAAAAAAAAAATTCATGTCATGCATATAAAATGGAAAATTTCGAGCTGCATCTATATATTATTCATTTAAAAAAATTTTTTTTTTTAATTTTAGGGAATTTAAAATGCAAGAACCATTTTAAATGTAAGATCCAGAAAATAATTTTATAGATAAATTTAAATCGGGACGCAAGTGTACGATAAAAACAGCTCATACATAGTATACCTATTTTACATTTGTATTACAAACAAATGTACCACATTTCTACTATCCAAAAGAAGACCATATTGAATTTCGGGTATAAATGACTGCTTTATACTGCATGTAACCATAGCTTATTTTTTATCAACTTTTTGCACATCTTCTTCACATTCAACAATAATATGTCGCAAAAAATTATTAAGTCTCACAAACATAGTCTTGTTAAAATAAAACATCTGCGAACGCTCTCCTGTCAATATTGATAGAGACTAATTTGTCGGATACCTCAAAACATTTAATAGGGCGGAAAAACAAAATGACTTCGCTGGTGTTGACGCAACAAAGTTGAAATTTTTGACGATCGCGGCAATCAGAGAAATCTTTTTCACCATCAATGATAAAAATCACCTAAAAAGTTATTATAAAACTGAAGCATCGGTGTTAAAATTTCATTTGATTAGGATCGTTGGATTAGTCAGATGACTTTATAAGGGCATCATTAGACACAAGCGCAGGAGTAAAAGTTTTTACTTATTATGTAAAGACTTTTGATGATCATTTTGGCTTTTGGAACCATTTAATTAAAGGTGATACTTCTTGTAATGTTTGATGGAGCTATGCATGGAAAAAAAATGGAAGCTGGATTTATTTGCCAGGTTACATAATTAAAATATGTGATATATATTTACCATTTTCCTTATAAAACAACTATCCCCAAACACTTCTCCGCCCAACGTGATTTCCCATTTGATTACTTGTTTGGGTAAATTCATTCTTTATTAGTATCCCGATGTGTGAAATATCATATAATATTTTTCCACAGTTGGCAAACTGAGATTATAACTTTAATCTGGGTGAATATTAATACTTGTTGCGTTTTAATAATGAATAAATTTAAAAATATGTGGATGAAATTGTTTGCCTAATAAATACATTAATATTTTGATGACAAAGATTATGTTCATTAAAATCGCAAAGACGATTCGTTTAGAAACTTAAACAATAAACACGTGTTGATGTTTTAAATTTCAATTGATAAAATGAATGACATGGATTTAAATTAAAATCGAACGCTTGCCATTGTTAAGCCGCAGAAAAACTGCGTCATGAATACCGCAGGGTTGCTACATACATCCATTTTCTATAGTTAAAGTTATTTTTCTACTCTTTTATTTTATCTAATGTCATAGTTCATGTTTTCATAATAGATATCCGAATGACATCATTTTTATTATAAATTTAAATGATAATAATTGACATCTTTTGGCATCATCGCGTAGTATAAATACATAGGATTTGATTTGATGACTGTGAATCGTTTCAATTGTTTATTTATTTTGAAAGATTAATGTATTGTTTGTTGAACTTGGTTTTAATAAATTTCTAGGTTAACACTATACCAGACTACCTTGCTTTATATTTTCGGCTGCGGCGTACACTTGATATTAAAACAACCAAAAAGTTTCCATAATTTACTCGAGTTTTGAACGCGTCTAACAATTTTTCGCTTCAAGAGAAAAATCAAAGTCATTACGTTATTACTTTTACCGCTGAAGCCGTGATCTGTAACTGCGGCCAGTCCCGTGATTGGCTCAAGATAGGGTTTTTAAGATAAACCAAGAGTTCAATAAAGGAATTTTATCAATTCATTTTGTCGTGTATTAATATAGGAGTGATTGTGATAAAGTATTGTATTTAATTCGACGTATTGAATTAAAAATAATAATTTTTGTTTACAGTTACCAAGCCAACGCCGCAAGAGCTTTAAAATACAAGCTTGACGAAAAAAGCCTAGATATACGATTTTTAATTAAATCCGGTTCATATTTAAAATCAGATACAAAATTTACCAATACAAATACCGGATTTATTATATTCGGATTTATCTGAATTTTTTGATCATATAAATGCGGCAAAACGTTTGATGTTTGAACGCATGTAAATTCTTAATTATAATTAATGTACAATTTTTATTAAGCTATTTATAAAATAAGGCATATACAATTAAAAGCACAGTTTATTTTATGTATGACGATATAAGTTTGAAGTTCATCATTAATTATGAAAATTATTTATTTTGTCTTGGAAAATTTATAAATTACTTGATTATAAACACTGTAACTTACATTTGAATTCATATAACAAAATACTGAGCTAATGAATTATTTAGACCCAAAAACTGAAATTAGACGATGTTGTTTAATATATCTATCTTTTAATGCTAGCTTATCCAGATATAATTAATCCGGATATAAAAAAATAAATCTGGCAATCTCTAAATTATTTTAATCATTTCTATGTCAAAAAATTCTTTAGAATTAAAGAAAATTTAACATATCAAGTTCTTACGACACAATTTAGATAGTTGTTTAAAAAATTTATGATAAATAACCCAGCCATATAATATCAACTCTGAGAGATTTGCTCTAGTAAATTGAACCTCTCCAATGATTTCAAGGATCTGACATCATTCATAAACATTTTTAATAATTCTGATAATAAGTATCCATTATCGAATTCTTTTTCAAAATTATTGATCGCATGCTTGATTATATGAATATTAAGGACTTTGCAATACGATGCATATTTATACCTTGGATGCGTTGTCTTGAATATTTCGTCCTTGTTATTCTCGTTATATTCTTGACATAAATAGTCTTTCGAATCGTCGGGAAGGCAAACAATCAGGTAATGAGATATTTGATAAATCATTATTTGACTCAGCACGAATCCAAACGTCCCTCCATATACCTCTTTGGAATAAACAGAATTTAGAAATAAACATGAAAATAAAGAATTATTATCTAAATATAATATTTCCAAAATGCAATTGAGGTTTAGTAGTGGAGGCATTTTTAAATTTGTATATTTTATACAAATGTACAAGTTATTACGGTAAGACAATTTATAATTAAATTTCACAACTGCGGCTTGGACTGAAAATCATAAAAAGTAAAATTTTATTTCCCCCTCCTTTCTATTTATCGAATATTATTATGATATCACTGATTCTTTATAAAAATTAACTATACAATAATATATTGTAATATAATAGATAATTACTTATTATATACTACAAAATTGATTAAAATTTTTATCAGCCGTAATGTTTTGAAATTAGTTCTTTTAATCCTTTGCGGTTAGTTTAAATAGGTATTTTTTTTTTATTATTGTTGTAGTATTAATGATTTTTTCAAAAATAAATTAGGGATAATAAAAATATAATCAAAAATAATCGAAGATGTATTTAACATTTAAAATTTGATGGATATAATTGTTAATTAGAAAGCATTAAATCTTGCTTTTATTGAATAAATGTAATTCGTCTTCTATGAATTTATTAATAAGTTTGTTCTTTCAGTAGGTTTCAAAAGTAAAATTCGCCTAAAAATAAAAATTTGTTAAATATTATTAAGTTTATAAATTAAAAAAATTAAAAGCAAACAAATTTTACCTTTTTTCGTGTTTTTTTTTTAATAGGTTCTTCCTTTTTTTAAAAAAAGAAGAATCTCGTATAAATGACGAAAGAGAATGTTCCATAATTTTAAGTCAAATAATAATAATATCCTTACGTTAAATAATCAAATTAATCAATATTGATTTATGAATTGAACACCTAATTTTTTTTTTCTTTTCCTAAAAAAAATATATGAATTAGTGTAAATCTAAAGATGATTGGCTATTGGAGATCAATTTAAATTGATTATTATTTATACAGTTTAAAGTAAAATGGTGGTGTTACCTTTAGTAAAAAAAAAAAAATTTTTTGCTTCGTTATCTACAGAACTAACTGCTTGCAAAAATAATCCAAAATAATCCGACTTACATAGCGTCGCCACCAAAAAATGGTAGCCGGAATTTATTTGTCGGGTATTTGTTATTAGGGTTAGGATTAGAGTTAGGGTTTGGATTAGGATTAGGATTAGGGTAGAATTAGGATTAGTTTAAGGGGGTTAGCAAATTTGTCACATCGCGTCACATCCCAGCCGTTCTTCAATTTACTAAGTATTCTGGGGACAGAGAAATTATTTGATTATTTGAGAGAAAAATGCTAATTGTCACAATTATATGACACCCCTAATAAGTATATGTGACCCGGCAAATAAATCCGGCCACCATTTTTTGGTGGCTGTTAAAATAATCCTGGTTGATCATGTGATCATATTTATTTTATTATTGGTTTAACATCTCACAAATAAAAATAAAAAAGTTACGTGACATTAATAACTGACTGATTGACCAAACTTTCCGACGTTTTTCTTCAAATAAAATGTTCTATAAGTAAACAACGTACGGGGCTGTTTTTCTTTAAAGAAAACGCTTAAATAGCAATTTTCTACAAAGGAAACGCTCCGGTAACATTTCTCTTAATGGGAATCGTTCCGAAAAAGTTTCCCTCGAAGGAAAATCTTTTCGTTAACGTTTCCCTGGATTTGCTTGGCTTGGATTGTCCATTTATGCACCCGAGACAAGCCTAGCCGGCCAAAATAAAAGAGGCTCGGTTTGGTCCAATGGTCAAGCCAGCCAAGTCGGATTTTTCGGAGCTTTAACTGAAGCACTGAAATTACACTGTAAATCAAAAAACAAAAGAGACACGCACAGTATTTTCATTACAAAATACCAATAATTCACAAATAATTCATCTTAATTGAATCCTTGCTGAACAATTATGATCAGGAATTTAACAAAGAACATCGAGATTAGGTAATTTCATAGTGGTAGTATTGAAGCTTTTGGAAACAAGTTCGATGAAATTTTGTTGTCTGTTCTTTGTAACCGAGATCGACGGATTAATTTCTTAATTTTTTTAGACTTTATAATGAACATAAATAGCGATTACTGTGTTTTACTCTCTATATTAGTTAACAGACGATCATAAAATCTTTATATAAAATCAAATAAAATGTTCACATTATAAATATTTACATTGTTTTATTTATTTTTTATACCGAGAAATTTCTAATTTAAATAATTTAAAATATTTTATGCTAAACATTATAAAAAAAAAATATAACGTACAAGCTAATTTTTGATTTCTTAAAAAAAAACAGACTACTTGATTCTATTTTAAAAGAAATTAAAATGGGGAGTTTTGATATGTACAGTACAAACGACTCATATTTAAACAAAAATATAAATTCAAGTGGTTATAAATTCGTTAACATTGCTCCTTTTTAACCAAATAAATATATCTTTCTTTTCATTTTTTTTTCACAAAAACAAAAAAATTAATTCGGCAAAATGAAATTCCCATCCACTCTTACAATACCTTCAATAATTACTACGCCGTTCCGCTACCATTGCATTTTTAGGATATGGCCATCATTTATCGATTTTCTCCTATTGATTTTGAGAACATGAATGCTTTGCAGTACAAGCAGCCGTCAAAACAAATTGTTTTCCTCTTTCCACCTGCGAAGCGCCCACCATAGCTTTTTCTGATTATCCCGAATTTATTAATAAACGAGATATAAGTGAAAATGAGGGTAAAATAAATTGGTATTGTATCAAGATTAGAAGTTGGAGATACCGATAAATTTCGTGTTTGTGGTCTTGGTCTTGGTTGTATAATGAGTCATAAAATTGGTTGAGGACATTGTCGGTACGGTCTTTTTTTTTATTAATTTTGTTAATTTAAATTTAAATACACAGGGTTCTTTACTAATTAAAAATGTCTAACTAGTTAAAATCAGTCGGTAAACTGGTCGGTCAAAAGACGGTCAGAAATCTTTGACGACATCTGCGGTTAAATAATTGTTTTATATTAAATATTTTTTTTTTGGTTTCCCCAACAAGAAATGTAAATGTTGCAGTAGCTATACAATTCGACATTCTTATTTTCAAGCCAAATACATAAAGAAAAAGTAATACTCAATGAAATTGATATAATTTTTTTTTCAAAGAATATGAAATATAGATATGATTCAAAACAATGGTTTGGGAAATCCCTTGTAATTTTTAATAAACATATAAACACAATGATTATTAAAATTCTTAATTAGGAAGTCCAAATACAGTAAATCCGGATATAATACATCCGGATTGAATCAGATTTCGGATCCGATTTTTGAAATTAGGATATAAAAAAAAAAAAAACTCTAGTACTGCGCTTTTTTAAACTTTATGAATGTAATCCTATTATTTTAATTTAATATAATTCTCATTTAGCGTCCCTTTTGTACTGTGAGTGAGCTTTTTTAATCGAGAGAATGATGTGAATCCAAAAAAAAATTGACCTTGAAATTAAAACAAAAAATTGCCAAAACTTGATTAGTTTATAAGCTCGATCATATATAATTTAGTTACTTTTTGTTACTTTTTTTCTTCAAAAAAAAAAAAAAAAAAAAAAAAAAAAAAAATGTCAAACGATATTAATGAATATCTTATTTGGATAGAAAAATCAATTGCCGACGAATATTTCAATTATTATGAATATTCGAACTTCAAAAATATACAACCAATAGGAAGTGGTAATTTTGGAAAAGTTTCTCGTGCTATTTGGAAAGATACTGATTCCATTTTTGGAATATATCAAACTTTCATTTAGACTTAAATCTTTATTAATATTTAATTTCTTGCCTTGTTTATTATTAAATATTTCTTGTTCTTCATATATTTCTAAAATTAAGATCATTATATTAATTATTTAAAAAATTTAAAACATTTAACTTGCCAATACCTGAATAATTTGAATCATTATCATTATTATTTAAATTAGCCTATGAATTTCCAGAAAAGTATTCAAATTCTTCAACTTCAATATTTTCTAAATCTAAAGATATTAAACTAATAGTATTTTGAATTTTTTTCTTCAGCTAAACTTTTATAAGTTCTTATTTCTTCACATAATCTATGATTAAAAAATTCCATAATTTCATTTTTAAAAATATCTTCATCTTTAGTATTTGAATTGCTGTTCTACAATAACTATGGTTAGTAATTTTTCAATTATCAGTTAAATCAATACTGTAAACGGATCTACAAAGAGATCTGCAAAACTGATTTACAAAAGGATTTGCAGAATGGATCAACCAAATGATTAGC